AAACTAGAGGGAAGAGGAATGAGGTGCAGGGTTTGCTGAGGAGAGAAAGTGCAGAGATGCTAGAATGAAACCCGTTTATCCTACAAGGTGTTGGGGACAAGGGTGAGTAATTTAAGGTAAACAAACAAGTTCTTAATTGTGACCCTACTCACCAGCCAAACTTTGGAATATAATAGTTGATTGCTATTTGTTGAATGAGTAAACATGTATCAGTAGCAAGATAATAGGTTGGATGCATCCTAAAACCTAGTATCATGAATTTCCAGGAAGACTTGAAAATTTTGAGCTATATGAAAACAATTAATGGAAGTCGAAGTTTCCCGCAGGTTGAAATAATTTGCTAACAGGAGAAGCTGAGTAGACACACACTGTGGTACTTCCCTAGTAACTGGTAACTGGTACTTCAAAACCAGTTAATCACAGCCCGTACAGCATTTCAAGCAGATAAACTGATGGAATTTCACGGGCTCTGAAAGACCCGGATCTAAAAGTACTTCCCTCACAAAGGAGAGGTTCTTTCTCAAACCTTGGAGGAAAGCTTTTCTTCTATTTCTTTTCATTTTCTCCTCTTTCTCAGTTATTCTATTTTCTTAGTAAACTTCATTATTTCATTCAAGAAGGCAAATGCATGTCACTTGTCTCACACAAATTGGGCTTTCTGCCTCATAGGTGTTATTTTTACAGTAATGACGAACAGGACACAATTTAAAACAAACTAAAAATGTGAATGTAAAATAACATAAGACACTACATATTATCTTATTTCATGTCTGGGCTTCTCTTCAATTTCTAGGTATTGTAACTCAAAATATTAAAATGTTTCTTTTGACTATGATAAAATATTGCATTTTTTCTTACTAATATTCCAGAGAAATGTTAATACATTAAATATAATTCACTTCTCCAGTTTCATTTCTGTTTCACGAATATTTATATATTCTCTGAACATAACTATATATGCATAGAAATGATTCATAAAATATATCAAGTTAAAAGATTATGGATTCAGTCTGAACATTGGAGAATATAAGATGACATACTTTGAAATATTTAGATGGCTTTCTAAATACATTGCAGAGCATCTAAAGAGAAATTGAGGTAGAGTGACACATTTGTCATCATGCTTTAGAAACTTCATTTTGATCTTAGCGATGATTAGATTCATCTTTCAAGAATTAGCTTTATTTCATGGTTTGAAACAATTCAATGTCTTGAATTCTGTGGATTTTCTTCTCTGTGATAGACCATGCTGCAGGCTATAATATCTGCTATTTTTTTACTCTAAATTTCCGACAATTTCAAATGAATTTAACTATTATTATGTGCACTTGTAGCTGGCACAGGACCAGTTAAAGTACAGATGATTATGGGGTTGCATTTCTGTGGGAATTTAGGAGTTTCCTTGCTTACACATTTATTCTTTAATTTCCTTAATCAAAGCCTCTGCAATAGCTGAATCTTGTCTCCACTGCTCATAACAATCCCATCTTTAGCTGTGCCAAAACCTAAAAATGTGAATGATATAGTCAGATTCATCACAATGTACTATCGTAAACTACGTATTGAATAAAAAATATGTTATACGGTTTCAGAGTTTTTTTTCTAAAAACAAATTGATAAAGTACCATTCAAAAAGTGTACACATGTAATTTACCAATAACTTGTATTTACCAAAGCATTACTATATCCTAATGATAAAGTCTGAACTACCATAAAGTATCACTTTCCCTTGGCAGTGCCCTGTGTTGTCTTTGAAATACACTATACCTTCAGAATCACAGTCAGCATGAACTTCTCACATAGGAGACTGAGAGGTCCTCTGTTTTACCATCTTGGATTTATGTACACAGAAAGGAAGATACACAGGTGTACTGGAATCTGCAAGGATTGAATATGCACGTGCTGTATCATTTCACTCTTTAAATTAGGAGTTGAAATTTTTATTCTTTCATGTTTGCATATTGTTTAACAATTAACATCCTGTTCTCAACAGAGGCCGTGATGAACTGGGGCTTAATTTTCAAGTCTTTGGGCAGAGTTAGATAGTTGTGTCCTGAATCATTTAGTCTTCCACCCTCCTTAGTATGGGAATGCCAGATTTACTCAGTGTGTCCAGTTAAAGACTACTGTTCTCTTCTTGTTTATCTTACTTCCTGGGGATTAAATCTACATGAAAGGAAAATGTCTTGGCTAGTCTCCGGCAGAAAAGATTACATTTCTCAGGCTTCTAATATTGATAAAGCCAGTTTAATCAGTTGGCCATCGTAGCAAAATGACGTATAAATACTTTTTCCATAATTCCTTTAGAAAAGAGGTGGTGAACTCCTTTCCCATCCTATTGCCTGAAGCATGCAGATGATATGTGGAGTTGTAACAGCTCTTTTAAACCATAAGGAAAAAGATGCTCTTTTAAGGATGTCAGAGCAGAGCAGATAATTGGAAGGAAGCCTTATTCCTGAGAATTTCATGGAGCTGGAATGCCAGCTAAAAAAAACTCTGTTATTTGCCATTTTCTGATGTCTGTAAGTAAACATGGTTTAGTCAAATATTTATAAATGTTTGCTATTAGTTGCTCAAATGTTTTTGAACCCATATATGCCTACTGAATGAGCTTTTTATATGATCATTGATAATTAAATAATAGAAATGTTTTCAAAGCCTTTCTTAATTTTTGCTTATAATTCTGCTTTCTTTGACCACCTTTTTGTTATGGTTTCCATTCAGTCAGATATATTTTCACTAAGTTTTCTAGTGTAACTTTCAGCATTACGTAGTTTTAGGAGTCCAGATCCTTTATGTATGTGGATGAAGTGGAGGTGGTAGGAAAAAAATTAGATCTGTCTTTTTGGGAGTGAAACCAAAATAACCTTTGTTATACCAGGTAGGCTTGTGATTACTTATGTCCTATCCACATACTTAAAGCTTTACTCTTCACATTATTTGTTTTGTTCTATCTTTACCAAGGTCTGGCTTTTATCTCAGGAGTTTTCTCTGCTCAACTTTCCTTATTTTATCTGCTCCTCTCTAATTAGCCTAACTCAGGGTTTCTGAACTGCTGTGTTCTTCCCACTTTGCACTGCTTTTTTGCCCGTTCACTCACTAGTCACCCTTCAGATCTCAGCTTAGCATTTACTTCACCCACTGTACATACGGCCTCTGAATAAAAATCATGTTTCTTCATAGACCTTAAACAGTGGTAAATTTTTTGTTTACCGGTGTAACTATATACTTAATGTAGCTATATTCATTCAGATTTTAAACTACTTCAAAATAGGATAGGTGTTTTTTTCTCATCCTTTTTTGTTACTAGAATTCTGCATAGGTCATGGTCAGTGATAGATATTTAGTAAAAAGAACATTAACTGACCCAAGAAGATAAACCTGGTAATTATCTGGCTTGACTAGGATGAAGAGAGAGGTGCATGCTGCATGTAGTGATCGTGTGCTCTAAAAGCGATGTTTAAGAAGTGAAGTTTATCTGCCTTGGGATCTTTAGTTTAAAAACTATCTGGTAATAGTGCTTCTCAGTGAGAAGTGAGGACTGTTTAATAGATTTTGTAAACACCAATGCTGCATTGTGAATTTCACTTTGAAGACAAGTTTAAAATCTGAGTATGAGGGAAGAGTGCGATACACAAGTAAAACAACTTATACAATAAACATAATAAAAGGTTTAAGAGAAAATAAACTAAGTTGAAAAATTTTAGAGACGTTTCCTGGTCTTGAGTTGCTCTGCCTCACTTTAATTCAACTTTAGAAATCATTACCAGCATAACACTACTGAAGAGCAAGTCTAATCATTTCATGCCTTCACAAACATTTTTAGGCGTTCTCCAGAGAGTCCTGTAGATGCAGCGCTACATAGGCTGAAATTGTCCACAAAATGAAGGACTAGCATTGCAATTATTTATTCCTAATAGAATTCATTGATAAATATTTTGGGAAAAGTGACTTTTCTTCTTATGATTTTGAATAATTTATATCTTGAAACACTTACCACAAATTTTTAAACAACTTGAATGTATCTAGATATTCATACTTCAATTCCTAACATTGCGTAGGAACCAGAAATTTGAAATCTAGATATATTATTTTCATGTACTATGTCTTAATTTTTAGGAGTTTGACTCATGGAAGACAACCTAATTTTCTGCATTATGTAAAGGATACTCTAAATATTAAGAGATGATGGAGAGTAAACCAATTTTAGTATGCAAAACAATAGAATGGGAATTTGCCTTTGGATCTTAGTTTGGGAATAAACCTAATGATCTATTATTTTAATTTTTTAAAAAATAACTGATTTGAACTGAACACTGTACTGCTGGTAGCAACAATAAAAAATACTTCATCTATATGATAAATCATAAGTAAACAAATTTTATAGGTATTCAATAACACTTTAACATTTCCATTTTGCTCAAGTCTGATTTTGTAGTTGTTTAAAGTATGATTCTGAAAGCTCATCACAGACTCGTGGGTGGGAATAATGAAAACTTACTATGTGTGATCAATGACCTAAAATGTTTAATCTAATTTTATTCCTTTTCCAGAGTAAATTTACAGGAAGAAAACATCAGAGAATGCTTATTGATACAGTGCCCAAACTTTCTGTTGTCCAACAATGTTCCCTTGTATGAACACTAATTTAAAATAAGAAAAGAAAATCCTAGTGAAAAAATATGTCATTGTTCTCAGAATTTAGAAAATAGAAAAACTAATTTCATACTATAAAAATGTTTGGAATTTCAATCTTCAGTTAGTTCTGAACTAATGTGATAAAAGCTTACCAGTATAGGAGACATTTTCTAGGTAATGGAACAAAATTAAAAGAGCAACTACAAATAATACAAACAACACATTTATTTAGAAAAATAAACTGAAAATGCTGTTTGGTATATTTTCTCATGAAGCATAGACAAATGGTTATAAAAACTGTTTAATGTCTATTAAATACAAATTACAAATGACCTTTGAAGTAAGAGAACAAAAAAATTTCAACACAAATGTTTAGTGGGCAATTCACCTGTATTTGACTTCTTGAAGTTAATAATAGAAAATAATTTTTATTAAAATGTTTTATCTCCCTTTTATTTTATTTGATCACACTGATACTTTATTATTCTGTAGTTGATTTGCTATGCTTTTAAATTGGAGACATCTCTTCAGTTCACCGATTTTTATAGGAGAAAAATCAATGTCTTGAGAATTGTAAAGTTTTCCTTTTTAGACTCCTGTGAGAAACTTCCCCTGGTCTCAAAACCCTTGGGACCATCTGTGCAAATCACAGCATGCTTTATTACCCTGAATGGAGGTGACAGTGCAAATAACCAGCAACATATCTGAGGGTAGTGAGTAAGAACTGACTTCCCCCTCTCAGCCAACAAAGGGTGAGGAGGGACTAAACCCGGAAGCTGCTCAAATAACTGGCAACGATGCTATTACACTTTATGGCTTTAGGTGCACACAGACAGTGACTGTCCTCTCTGTGCACAGCAATCTTCTGTCCCTGCTGCTCACTGAGGCTCCTGTCTGTTCATTTTGGTTTGTATCTACATATTTTGAAATGACAAGTGATTCCGAATAGGGACACCGCTTGTCTCTATACTTTAACCTTCACAAATGATAAATCAATTTATAACTTCCTAGTTTAATAGCTGAATTTGAATTTTGTCATGTGGGCTCATATCTGAGAATATTTTATTTCCATAATGAAATAAAATGAGTTTGGTTTGTCTTTCATTCATTTATTGGCTTTTTATTTAGTATTTTTCATCTGCATATTTTAGTAATTTCTGAGTGAAAATATTTAAGGCTGTGGCTTTTTTTGCCCCCAGGGCTCTGCACATGGCTGTAGCTAGAAGGTTTTATGCAGACCATATCAGTGATCATTGTGCTTGAAGTTGAAGGTTTTGCTGCTCTGTCATGGTCAGGCTCCTGGTTACTGTGGAGATAGGTCTGGCCTCAAGGAGTCATAAAGATGAATTGTAAGTGAGAAAACTGAATTGACGTGCCACCAAACAAAGGTGCATCCATCCTGCAGGGGCTGTGAGAGAAGAAAAAACAGTCAGTGTAAATAGTAAAAATGATTTAATGATAAAAGACATTAAAATGTTACAAATTAAGCAATTATTTGTTAAAAGTATATGTACTTTTAAATTCTGTAAATCATCAAACACTTATTTTAATAGTTTAAACAGTATAATATTATATTCCAATCAACTTTTACATAGAAGAGCATTTTTTTATGACTGAGTCATCAATAGTTAGTAGTAGGATGCCTATTTTACATATAGAATCACTTATGCCTAAAAATTGTTAGAACTTTAGATAAATTATTTAGTTATCAATGTATTAATTCTCAAGATATTTCTTAAATTCACAAATGATAGATTTTCTTTAATACATTTTATCTAAAAGCTATTGAAATCTTCTTCCATTAAGGTAGAACCTTAATTTAAAATAACCGAGAAAAGCATTTTTAAACACCTGGAAAGGTAAGAATAAAATAGTCTTTCATTACATTATATAAAATTTAAACCATCTTCAGTTTCTCAAAAGAACAGCCTTTTTCTTGACACAGCAGAATTAACAAATAATCAACTTTGCTTTTTCTTCACGAATGTCTATAATACAGTACTTTTAAATTAGCACTTTTGATGAATTAATATCCATATTTCTAATTGAGGGACACATTTTTGGTGAAGCAAAAAGAATGAAATCTAGCCATAATGTTTACTCTTTTTCTAACAACAAATGAAATCAGTACCACTTAAACGTAGAAGCATCTTTGGTCCTTACTTTAAACTATGATGCAATATAGAATAATTATGCTTTTAATAGCTCAAAACATTAAGTCTACAAAACATTTAAAATAAATCTTATGCTACAAATAATTGATAAATAAATGATTCAAAAGTAAAAAATACAGAATAATGATTTTTACATGTATTTTTGGATCATTTAATGTCCAAGAACCCCTTGCTTTAACTCTTAATTTAGGAGTAGCTATGTACCTTTCTCCAATATAAAAACACATGTATTAAACAGAAAATCATTTTTATGTGTTTGAGACAAGCTCTTTAGTTGACAACATTTTGCTAAGCTGACAAAAGATAATATCCATTATGTTATTCTACTACTATAACAATGGCCTAGTACTAAATAATTTAAGTTAGATTTATTTAACTTATTTAAATTTAGGATGAACACCAAAATGGACAAAAAAACAAATAAACTTTACTTCCACCTCAAAGATTAGAACTAGCAAAATCGTCATACACGATAAGTTAATGGATGGGGAGATCTGCTCTGGCTCATCGTTAAAGATGTTCTATGAAAGAAGGAGAAATAGAAGATAATTTTTCATCACTGAGGTACTTAAAATGCAAGAAAATATAGGGTTTTTTTTTTTTTTTGGTATCGGGGATTGAACTGCGGTCCTTGTGCTTGCAAGGCAGGCCATTGAACCGCTGAGCTAAATTGCCAGCAAGAAAATATCTTTGTAGAGTAGAAAAGGTTGGTTTCCACATTATTTGCATATGTCTATATCTTCTTACTTAATCTTGTGGGAATTGAGGACTGCGTGTATGTAAAGAACACCCCCACAATAATTAATGTTTTGGTTCACTTTTTTTCAGAAGAGAATACTTTGATTTTTAACTGTGTGTGTGACATCTGTTTTGAGTACATGTTTGGGATCATAGTGATTACATTCAGCTTGAGCACTTGATACCAGACGTACTGCACTGTGATCATGTTTACTCCCTGATGCCCTTCTTTCCTAGATGCTTCCCATCTCTACCAAGACTACCCCTACTTCATAAGGCAATTATTCTGCTCCTTAAATTGTTTATATTTTGAGAGTCTCATATTTAAGCAGTTTGAAAAACATACAAATGAGACTATCTGTAAATATATGGGTATATAATTCATGTATTTGTGAAAACATGATGTGCCAATGATGAGTTGTGCCAATTATGAAATACACAATGAATGTTGATATAAAAATTTTATGACAGTAAGAGACACTCTACAATTCATGCCCCTCAATGTGAGGCAGAAGAAAAGTTCCCAACCCCTCCCTTTTTTTCCTAAGATGCAAGAAATGGCCAGTGTTTAACTGACAGCAGTCACACCCCTCCCTCCTGCCTTCCTCAGTCCCTGAGACGGGACTGGAACAGCTTGCCCCATTCTTTCCACCACAAGGGTCACCTTCTGGCTGTTCTCTGAGTGGTGTCCACAGAATGTGAAGCCCAACTTGACCAGCGGCAGCTGACAATGTCACTGACAGCATCTGAATGAATTAGCCAAGGTGATTCATTATTTGAGCTAAGGACTCTACAACTATTTGTTGCTTTGAACATGCTTCTTTGATCATTTTGCCATTTTTGTGAATGTTCCTATGAGGTGGATCAAAACTGAGTGTCATCAAATGGGAAAAAAAAAAAAAAAAAAAAAACAGGCTCATAAAAGTGTTGCGGTTCATCCTCATTCACCGCATTCATTGGATCTGGTACCGTATGCAACTTCTGGTGTTTCCCCAACAGCGAAATGATGATGAAAGGTAAATGTTTTGAATTGATTCAGGACATCGAGGCAGACTGAACCACATAGCTAAAGAACTTACGAAAAAGAATTTCCAAACCTGCTTCCAAAGCTACAAGAAAGATGGGATGTGTACTAAAAGACAGGGAGGGCTGGGGATTTAGCTCAGTGGTGCCACCACCTGGCTAGCAAGTGCAAGGTCCTGAGTTTGATCCCCAGTACCAAAAAAAAAAAAAAAAAAAAAAAAAAAAGTAGGGAGAGTAGTTTGAAGAGTAGTTTGAAGGGGACTGATGGAAATGTGTCTTTTGCCATAATAAATCTTTAAGACTGAAACTTTCATCATATTTTAGATCACAATATGTATTATATTTTCATGGCTCTGTACTATAGGAATCTTTAGCATTATTTACATTTAATTATTATAGCTTACTAAGTTTGTTAAATCATTCATTTATGTATTTGCACAAAAATATTGATTTATTACCTACTGAATACCGATCTAGGAACCATGGGTACAAATAGGGAATCTTCTGCCCACTCATGAGATAAGTATCGGAGAGTAAAGAGATGAGCATTCATAGTAAACGATGAGCAGTGTGATATATAATATGTACATGATCAAAAGCCAAGCATAGGACTGAGAGGCCTTTCTGTGGCCTTTGAATTGAAACTTGAGGGAAAGGTTGGAGTTTGCAAGAATAGTAAACCACTGCAACATATGAAATGAGAGACCAGCATGAGCAGAGCTGCAGAAGCAAGGCAGAAATTTGCATCTTTAATGTTGCAGAGCACTAAATTTAAAGGAGAAGAGACAGAAGTTTCTAGAGAATTTGGCAGAGGCCAGGGTGTCCTTTCATACTATATAAAATCATTAATATGGTGACAAAAATTTTGAAAAATTCTCAAGATTAAAATGGCTGAGAAAAAATGGAGAGTCTAATAAAGATGGGGAAGTATGTATAACAAACATTTAATGTAAAATGTGGCAGGACATAGTTGTACTCAGTAACTACTGTAGCCTCAGAGGATTTCTCAAAGATAACTGAAGAGTACAAAATAGCCCCTCTATGCTTACTGAATTAAGAGAGAGTTTTATTCGATTGCCTTCTGCTCAAGAACAAACATTTTTAGGAGGCTTTTCTCATTCTACCACTTTTAGGTATCTAATGGAAGGAGATATTTACACATCTGCTCAGTGACCAAACCTTGAAAACAGAAAATCAAATCATGTAACCAGTCTGATTCTGCTGATTGGCCTCTAAGATTGGGTATTGGAGTAATATACTTTATTTTTATTGAGATTGGAAGATTTTTACATATATCCAGACCTCTCACTGGATCACATAACACATTCATCCCATTCACCTCAAGTTCAAATATTTTTCCCACTAAAGGAAATATGATTATTATTTATATATTTTCAGTTTAAGTTTCATGTGATTCTGTTATTATTGGTTTAAAATAAAAATATTTTAAAATCTTCACATAATCTTTTCTGTATGTTTATTTCAGAAATGGAGGCACACTGTACAACATCATTATTATACATGTTAAATAACTTTATTTAACATGGAAATAATGAAAAGTAAATGACATCTATCAGACTCTCAACAAACAAAAGAGAACTTAAATGTCCTACACCACAATCTTCTGACCGATTCTTCGGGTCAGTGGGTTAATTGCTACATTCTGTTCAAAAAGTTGTTGCTTAAAAGCAATTAAGATTTTATTCACTTTTAAAATTTTTATTAGTTGTTTTCAACCACATTGAGGCTCATTTTTTCATTCATGCAAATTTTCCCAGATCTGAATATGATATGCTAGATAATTTTCAGGCTCTGACTCATTAAATGTCAAATTAATTAATTTCTATAAGTACCATTTTAAGTGACTGTAAGCATATTTATTTAGTGTTTATCATAATTTTAAAATGCCAAACACAGTAAGGATAAGACAAAGCTAAAAATAATATAGAAAAGCTTTTCTAAACAGATATAACTCTTTACATAGCTTGAAGAAATCACATCCTCTTGTGTGCCTGAAGGATGGGGGCCACAATTCTCCTTTATTGTCATAGGGTGCTTGTAACAAGGGAGTTTAATGAGAGAATTTTCACCAAAATTCTCAGTATCTCACCTTTAGAAAGAATTAACAATTACAAATAAAACATTAAAGGGGAGAGTTGGGCAGGGTGTCCTTGATACCTTCACAAAAAATTTCAAAGAACTTTCTATGATGAAAATAATATTTAGCCTGTTATGTGAAAAGTATGCAAGATAACAGTTTGAAAAAAAAGAGTAGAAAAAATTATCCTAGGTACACAGATAAAAAAGATCTAGGTTAATTTTTTAAAACTTTATGTGCTGGGCCAGGGATTTAGCTCAGAGGTTCTGCCACCTGCCTCACCAGGGCGAGGTCCCGAGTTCGATTCCTGGTACAAAAAAAAAAAATCATGTGCTATTTCTTCACATATTTACTCAGGTTCTATGTGGTGGTGAA